AGAGAGAGTGAACAGGAAAGAGGGAAACCAGTGGATCCTGAGGAAGGTGGAATAGGTGGGGAGAGCAGAATAAAGAGAGAGAGGTGAAGAAGGTCATACAAAAGCCAGCTTGAACAAGTGAGTCTTCAGCTGCTTTTTAAAGGAGACCACTGAGTCCACTGATCTCAGGCTCAGGGGGAGAGAGGTCCAGAGTCTGGGGGCCACAGCAGCAGATGATCTGTCACCTTTGACCTTTAGCCTGGTGCTGCACAACCAGTAGGCTTTGATCACTGGACCTCAGGGACCTGCTGGGGGTGTAGGGACTAAGAAGATCACCAATGTAAGATGGTGCTTGTCCATGTAAGGCCCTATAGACCAGAACCAGGATCTTGAAATGAACCCTGAAGGTGACTGGCAGCCAGTGAAGCTGGAGGAGAAGCGGGGTGATGTGGGTGTGTTTGGAGGACTTGGTCAGAAGCCGAGCACAGGCGTTCTGAACCACCTGTAGACGGTTCAGGGAGGTTCTGCTCAGACACGTGAAAAGAGAGTTACAGTAGTCTAAGCGTGAGGAGATGAAGGTGTGGAGAACTGTCTCAAGTTCAGAGCGGGACAGAATGGGACTCAGCTTAGCAACGTTCCTGAGATGGAAGAAGGAAGAGCCAACAAGAGAACTGACATGAGAATCCAGGGTGAGAGCTGGGTCAAAGGTCACACCAAGATTCCTGACAGAAGGTTTGGTGTGAGAAGCAAGCTGACCAAGAGAGTCTCTGACTTTGGGAACCAGCTTGTCTGGGGCACAGATGAGGATCTCAGTCTTATCTTCATTCAGCTGAAGAAAGCTCCCACCATCCAGGTTTGGATAGAGTCTAAGCAGGTGTGTAACAGCTGCAGCTTAGACATCTCATGGGGCTTAAAGGAGATGTACAGCTGGATGTCATCTGCATAAAGAAGGTAGGAGATTCCTTTGAAGGAGCTCAGGATGTGCTGAAGAGGAAGCAGATAGAGGAGGAAGAGCAGAGGCCCCAGCACAGAACCTTGTGGGACACCATGGGTAAGAGAGGTGGTGGAGGACCTAAACTTGGAGACGGCCACAGAAAAGGAGCGCTCAGAGAGATGAGAGGAGAACCACTCCAGAGCAGATCCTGATAGGCCTACCCAGTCTCTCAGCCTCTCCAGTAGCAGGTGATGGTCAACAGTGTCAAAGGCTGCAGTCAGGTCCAGCAGGACCAGAACAGAACAGTCCCCTGCATCACTGTGGGTCAGAAGGTCATTAGAGACCCTAAGAAGAGCTGTTTCAGTAGAATGAGCTCTATGAAAACCTGACTGGAAGCTATCATAGATGTTATGTTCATCAAGAGCAGCTGTGAGTTGTTTAGCCACAACCTTTTCCAAGATCTTGGAGATGAACGGAAGTTTAGAGATGGGTCTGAAGCTGCAATGGAGAGAGGGGTCGAGACTCGGGTTTTAAGAAGCGGGTGGATTACAGCGTTCTTAAAGTAAGCAGGGACCTGACCAGAGACCAGAGAAGCATTAATTATAGAGAGCACGCTGGGACCGATGGACTGAAAAGCACTTTTAAACAAAGATGAGGGTAAGATGTGGAGGGGGCATGCAGAGGTCTTCATAGAGTTAACTAGTTTGGTTAACTCAGGCAAAGAAACAGGAGCAAAGCTATCTAGGATGATGGGCCTGGTTGGAGTCGGGAGAGGCGGCGATAAGGCTGAAGGAGAGATGCTAGATCTAACCTTATTGCCTTTGTCCACAAAGAAAGACAGAAAGTTCTCACAGTCTGCAACAGAGTGGATGGAGGCTGTAGGAGAGGCAGGAGAGACAATGCTGCTGATGGTGTTAAACAGCACCTTGGGGTTCCCTTTGCTCTGGGACACCAGGTTGGAGGAATAGGAAACCCTGGCGTCTCTGACTGCAGAGTTAAAGGATGTCAGAAGATCCTTTAGGTGCAGCAGATGGACGTGGAGATGGGTTTTCTTCCACAAACGCTCAATTTTTCTGTATTGGCGCTTCAGGCTGCGAAGGCTGTCATTAAACCAGGAACTAGGGTTCACTGCAGGAACTGATCTGGTTCTGACAGGACAGATGTTGTCCAGAATGGAGAGGCAGTGCTCGTTAAACTGAGAAGTTAAGGAATCTGGGTCGTTAGCAGAAGAACAGGGTGGATCAAAAGCAGCAGAAAAATTGCTAGCTGTGCTCTCATTAAGAAAACGAGAACTAACCATACGGCGAGCAGGAGGTGGGGACGCAGAAACTGACAAGTTAAAGAAAATGCAATGGTGATCTGAAATATAAACGTCCTCAGGACAAACACTGTCAGCATTTAGACTCAGGGTAAAAACAAGGTCTAGAGTGTGTCCCCTGGTGTGTGTGGGGCCAGAAACATGCTGGGTAAAGCTGAAGGAGTCCATAAGGCTGGAGAAATTCATGACAAAGAGATCAGAGGGATCATCAACCTGGATGTTAAAGTCACCAACAATCACCAGTCTGGACAGCTTCACAGTGGAGGATAGAAAGTCTCTAAACTCCTGAAGGAAAGAACTGTTTGGACCAGGTGGACGATAGACCACAGCACAGTAGAACGGGTCCTTACGCCCGACTTTAATCAGCTGCAGTTCAAAGGAAGCAAAGCGACCAGAGGTTGTAGAGCTACATGGAAGATGGTCTCTGAAAACAACAGCTAGGCCTCCACCACGACCAGAACCCCGGGGCTGGCTAAGAAAAGAATAACCACTCGGGCAGAGTTCAATCAGAGCAGAATAATCTGATGTTTGCTGCCAAACTTCAGTCAGAAACAGAAAATCCAGGTTTTTAGAGAGAATTAGATCGTTGAGCAGGAAGGACTTATTGTTAACAGAGCGGGTGTTTAATAGAGCCATGCTGAGTGAGGTGGAGGAATCAGAAACTACAGAAACAGCTGGAGTTAGTGGACGTAAATTAGCAGGGTTAGATCCACGGTGTTTATAAAAACCACTTATGGAGGGAACAGGAGGAGAAACCACTGAGGAATGAAGATAAACCGACCTTAAAAAACTTGCACGGACAAACGCGGCCTGGCGGGAATGCGGAAGTGGCGCTCAGGTCACCAAACAAAGGACAAGAAGCTAGAAGATCGCGCCGATGTTTACCAGATAAACCACGCTTTAAGAGGAGTCTTATTCTCACCTGGATTCCTGCTCGTTTACCTCTTTTCCTTCGACGTTTTCCCGGGACCGGACAAACGTCGCTGGAGGTGCGCAGCTCGGGACCGTAGTTTGGCTCCGGGCCAGTGCGCCGCTCAGGTAAACAAACAGGATGGTACGTCCTCGGTGCATCTTGGGCGATCGTGAACGAACGGAAGGACAAAAAGAGTCTGGCGATCATAGGAGATGGTAGCAGGGACACTACTGAAGAGGATCGCAGACAGGAGCAAGGTGGAAAAGAGGAGGTCAGTGGAGAAAAGTTTGAGAAAGTGGCCGGTGACTGCGGCTAAGCCAAGCACAGGCGCCATCTTGTTACCGACCGGAAAAGGCCCACGAGTCACACTTTGGACCCATCGTCATCACTAACAGACGGTATCTCATGTACGGGTACATGGGAAAACTCTCTAAGAACCCCATCCCTTGTTCTGTTGGATCCAGTAGAACCTATGTGGTTTTGGAGGAGCCTCTGAGTCACTCACAGCAGCTTCACTTCACTCCCACGGCTCTGATGAAACAGAGATCTGAGATTTCCTGGAATCAGTCCAGTCCCCTCCAGAACACAGTCCGGGACAGGCGAGTCCACCAGAGCTCCTCTGAAAGATTCATGATGCAGTAGAATGGGTTCGGTTCTGATCGGGTTCTGTTTCAGGATCACCTTCCTTCCACACACAAACTTTAACCTGCATCAAGTTACAGAAACGGAGAGCTGCAGCTTCACAACACGGCCAGGACGAAGATGCCGTGGTTACCATGGAGACGAGAATGAATCAGCACTGTGAGAGAAGCAATGTTACCGTTGATCGGAATCAGGTGTGTGTGTGTGTGTGTGTGTGTGTGTGTGTGTGTGTGTGTGAGTGTGAGTGTGAGTGTGAGTGTGAGTGTGAGTGTGTGTGTGTGTGTGTGTGTGTGTGTGTGTGTGTGTGTGTGTGTGTGTGTGTGTGTGTGTGTGTGTGTGTGCGCGCACACCTATCCGAGCTCTGGTCTGAGAGGTAATACTCCAGGAGGGAATTGCAGACCTTCGTCTCTCCAGACCATCTCCAGCTCCTCCAGGAAGATCTTGAGGCGTTCCCAAACTACAGGGATAACGAATCCTTTCTGAGGGTTCTGTGTCCGTGACACGGTACCCAGATGTCCAACAGATCTAATCAAATACCAGAACCACCTCAGCAGAATCCTCTCAGTGGAGCTCCTCACTGGCTCTCGAGACCTCTTGCAGCACCATGATCCTACCACAGATCTGCTCTGTTTGGATCAGGGTTCTGTTTCATGACCCGGTTGTGGTCCAAGCTTCAGCTGTCAGGCAGCAGGTTTGTTGTGGACGGAGTCCTGTTGAGTCGACACCAGCCCAAACCATAAGCTCTCCGCCGCCGTACCGACTGCTGGGATCAGAATAAACGAGCTCACGCCGAGGATCAGGTAAATGATCTAGAACCTGATCCAGAACCCTATGAACTCAGGATCCAGATTTAGACTTCTAAGAATCACATAACCTTGGGTACTGACATCCTGAGATGTAAAGCAGCAGATTAAGAAGGCAGTGGTCGGGTTCTCATCCAGTAGAACGACCCACAGGGTTCCAGAACATCTAAAAACCTGATTGTGGGACAGAATCAATCTGATGGATCAGAGCCAAGAAACCGAGCCAGAACCATCAGACTAATGACCCAGAACTGGATGGGCCAGGCCAATCAAAACCGGTCCTGATGTTAATCAGCATCATATAGCTAACCAGCTATCTGTGTTTCTTTGACTCTGAGCTCAGAACCAACAAACCACGCCGGCTGTGGTTCTGCTCATTACAACAGAACTTCATGAAGAGAACCAGAACATTTGAATCAGCTGATAAAGCGACCCCTGAGATGGTTCTGTTCCTGAATCATACCTACTGCAGGTCTAAAGAGGAACCAAGGTCCGGTTCTGTAACCCATCCGATGTTCTGCTGCTATGTGATCCAGTTTAAAAAAACAGAACCGTCACAGGAACACCTCACATCCAGCACGACGTCATAAAACCAGTCAGGTCTTAGCTGGATCCCTCCTAGGACACCAGAACCAGAACCATCCTTCATAAACAGCTGACGGAACTAAATGGACCAGTACTACATTAGGAAACCATTGACTGCAGTTCTGGCCCGTGCCCAGTTGGGTTTAGGACTAAAACACTTAAGAAGGACGACCCGGTTCTGTAACATGAGAAGATGTGTTAGTGGAAGATCGGAACCATATAAGACCCGGAATTCTTCATCCCCTGCATCAGATGGACACTCTCTGGAGACGGACCCAGACCCGGACCCAGAACATGGCAGCTTCAGAACTTCTATTTAGAAATAAAACAAATTGAACAAAATCTTTTTTATCCATTTAAAAAATTGTGACCATGAAAGAAATTTCCCCAAATGACAGGAAAACCGTGCAGTTCTCCAACAGAACCTCAGATCAGACATGACCTGCGGGATAGCTTCGGAACCATCATCAGAACTTTTACACGATAAAAACCAGCTGGACACGGGTCGACCCGACGATAAATCATTGACTGGTTCTGAAACATCAATGTCAAAGTACACCGAGTGTGTTCACCTTCACACACACACACACACACACACACACACACACACACACACACACACACACACACACACACACACACACACACACACACACACACACACACACACACACACACACACACACACACACACTGCAGTCATAACTTACTCTTCTGGTTCTTTCTCGGGCTGCTGCAGTAAGGAGAAGCAAGAAAGGTCCCAAAAAAAAGGTTCCTTCAGTTCATCTCAAGACGAGGACAGACTGGGACAAACCGGGAAGAACCGGGACAGTCTGGGTCGCTCAGTCCTCCTCACCTCGCTGTGTTGCATGATATCCCATCACTGCTGTGTTATCCCACACAGACGAGTGGGAAGACTGCGCATGCTGTGACAGAGGAAAGGAGAGGGAGGAATGAGAGAGGGAGGGCAGAGAGAGGGGAGGGAGGGAGGGAGGACTCAGCCTCCCCCTTTGGCTCAAAATCACAAACGTGCCTCTGAGCTGCAGAAAACAGAAAAATCTGCTGTTCCTGGATCAGTTATATGGCAAGAGGAGAGGAGGGGGGTGACGTGAGGCCTGGTCCCCCAACAAAGTAAACAGGACGAGTCCCAGAGGGCCTGTCTGCTGCCAGACTGCGTTGGTCTCCATGACTTTAGTTACCTTTAATGTGTGTGCGTGTTGGGGGGGTAGTAATGTAATGGAAAAGTAATCTGACGTGGAGGAGGGGGGGAGGAAAACCAGAATCTAGGGTCGGATCCAAGTGAGATTACGAACACGGAGCTTGTGTGTTTCGGCCAAAAGGCCAGATCTTAACTGCAGAGATGGTTTCATCTAAAGTTAAACATCTCCTCCACACGCCACTGGGTTCAGACGATACACCATCTGAAACAACACACACATTAAACCTGACTGAAGGTAGATGAGCATCATCTAAACCTAATAAAGTCTACCGTTCATGAATTAATTAATAAAAATAATTCCTCTATTTAACAGCAGATCGTCATGAATGGTGCAGGTGAGGCTTTCAGACAGGTGAGTTTAAGTTGATGCATTTATTGGTCAAAACCTCAAACTGCACAGAACTTTAAGCTTTAAACTTCAACAAATGTCTACAGATCACACGCTGCAACTCGGCGTGCGCGCGGAACAGCAGCAACATGTCTTCACCTGAAAGAATTCACCTACAGAAGCAGAGGGAACGTTTAGCCTAAGCCCTCAGCCAGCAAGAACACCGCACCTGAAACTCCAACTTCATTTCTGGGAGCAACAAACTTCTCCGTGTGTGGATGAAGGTCTGGAAACCCCTCTGATCAGCTGACCCCACACAGCAAGTGTGGCTATGAAAAACAGCAGCAGCTCGTCTCTCTGAACCTGGATCAGATCCTCGCAAATAGAGATAATCAATCAATCAATCAATCAATCAAATTTTATTTCTAAAGCGCTTTTCAAACAAAGTGTTATTCAAAGTGCTTTACAAAATGACCCCAGATTCCCATAAAAGGTTAAAAACATTAACAAACATATGCAATCACACGCACACACACACAGACTCACACACACACACACACACGAGTAAAAATTATATTAGGCTGAGTCCAGATGAGCCAAGTATGGTAACGCAAGGAAACGCCATCAGAGGAGCCGTCTGCCCCGGCAGCATCAGGTCTTCCACACCAAGTCAGGGCGCTCAGTGGAGGGGGAGCATAGACCCCCACCTATAGAGCGCCCCGGAAGCTACAGTTGACCACCGCTCCCGGGGCAGAGGGCCCCCACAGAGGAAACACTGGATTAAAATGAGAAAAAATGTAATATAAGAGCTAATATAAATGACAAAAATTAGAAAATAAGTAATAAATAAAATGATATAAACAGTAAAATAATAAAACTGTGCTAAAATATAATCATATAGAACATGCAAAGCAAGTAATAAAATATAATCATGTAAAACGAGGAATAAAACTGTAGTAAATATTTAGATAAAAGCCAACCTAAAAAGACGGGTCTTGAGTCTTGACTTAAAAACATGAACGTTCTCTGCGGCCCTGAGGTCCTCTGGCAGCTCGTTCCGGAGGCGAGGGCCATAACACTGGAAGGACGCCTCGCCGTGAGTGTGTGTCCTGACTTTAGGGATGACCAGGAGACGCCTGCCAGAGGAGCGCAGAGGCCGTGGGGGTTCATACTGTAAAAGCAGTTCTGATAGATAAGAAGGCCCAAGACCGTTAAGACACTTAAAAACCATTAGAAGAACCTTAAAATTGATCCTGAAACATACGGGGAGCCAATGCAATGATTCTAAAACTGGTGTCATGTGCTCCTGCCTCCTGGTCATGAGGCTCACCTATGGTCATGAGCTTTGGGTAGTGACCAAAAGAACGAGATCACGGATACAAGCGGCCGAAATGAGTTTCCTCCAAAGAGTGGCTGGTCTCTCCCTTAGAGATAGGGTGAGAAGCTCGGACATTCGGGAGGGGCTCGGAGTAGAGCCGCTGCTCCTCCACATCGAGAGGAGCCAGTTGAGGTGGCTCGGGCATCTGGTCAGGATGCCTCCTGGACGCCCCCCTGGTGAGGTTTTCCGGGCACGTCCAACCGGGAGGAGACCAAAAGGTAGACCAGGACATGGTGGAGGGACTATGTCTCTCACCTGGCCAGGGAACGCCTTGGGATTCCCCCGGAGGAGCTGGCCCAAGTGGTTGGGGAGAGGGAAGTCTGGGCCTCTCGCCTTAGGCTGCTGACCCCGCGACCCGACACCGGATAAGCGGATGAAAATGAATGGATGGATGGATTTCAGATCCTTCAGTTTTTAAAATGATTTATTTTTCTTGAAGTTCAGTAAGAAATGCACATTTTTAGCTTTGTTTTATTTTAACGTAGTTCATGTTCCCAACCAACTTACCAGAGCTAACGGGCTAACAGCAGTCCTGGCTGATGGCTTAGCCCGTTAGCCGTTAGCTCTGATCTGTTGGATTTAAAACACTTTAGCATTTGATCAAAAGCTTCTGTTGACTCTTTATGAAAATTTCTTTACATGAGACAACTTTTTTACATTTTCAGAAGACTTTACTTGAACAGGACGAGTCAGTGCTGATCCTGGAGCTGTGTGAGAACAGTCATTATGGGTTTACCTGCTGCATCAATGTGGTTTTGATAATAACCGATAATAACTAGTAACTATTTTAGACCCGGCAAGTCTGAGCAGGGCGGCTTTCAGCTCCCAGACGCTCAAACACAAATATGCCAGCGGAAAAAGTAGCAGCTGAATGGGACCAGCAGAACCCTTGAACCAGAATTATTAGTTGTACCCATGAGAGAATCGCTGCCTACCAAAAGTGAAGCAGTTCCCCCATCATCCACTAGGGGCTGGCTCCAGATAGGAGAAAGTTCCCATTGACTCCCATGTTAAAAAAGCCAACTTCACAGCAGAAATAAACACGTTTACAGTCGGCTTCAAATGAACATTTTAGGTTTAATAGATCTAGTTAAAGGTCCTGACAACTCAGAGGGGGGTTAATTGTTTTGCAACTCATCTGTTTAGACGTAAATAAAGCTTACATTTATGAATAATTAGGGGTGTGTCCTTTTGATTGGCGGGTAGCACATGAGCCATTGGAGCTACCATTAGCAGCTTACCCTCCTGCTTGCTCCAGCGTAGGCCTCAGCCTCGGACTCACGGTGATAGCTTTACACCCTAAAAGGCAGAAGGCAGCAGTCACTAAACCAGGGGTCGGCAACCCGCAGCTCTGGAGCCGCGTGCGGCTCTTCCATCCATCTGATGCGGCTCTCTGTGCTTGTAAAATAATGAATGGATATTTAAATAAAATGCTTTATATTTTACTGCATTAATTTTATATCTGTAAGCTAATTCTAAATGTAAAGATTGTCTGCGTAAACCTGAACAGGTCCAACCCGGTCTTACTGTGAGACCGGGTTGACGCGTCACGCTTGTGCGTAATCATAGGCGCTTTCTGAGCTGAAGAGGATGTGAGATTCTGGGATTCTCCTCAGACGGCTCCTGGATGTGTCGCCACATTGGAGACAGGAACAAGCGCTATTCAGCCAAAGTTTCATAATCAGGGAACATTTTCTAAGTGACAAGTCTCGCTTCAGTCGGAGGAATCTTCCTGCATGCGCTCTGGTTCTGCGACGCGCTCCAAGCCCCTCTCCACATCTTCAGCTCGCTGTGGACCTTATGTAGTACACGCTGACAGCGAGCTGCGCTGAGCAGTGTCCGGCTCAGATGTTCAGATGGGAATCATTTCTTGAGTGATTTATCTACATCTGCGATGTGCGAAACGAATAAAACGTCAGTTCGTCTGCATGCGTCGGGGTAATTCTTTCTATTCTTTCTCCGTCAAAATAAACGGTCAAACACGGGAACTGTCCGGTCAACACAAGCCCTGCTTTTAACTGTTCTGTTTTCTTGTGAAAATTGTTGCAAAGAGATATAATTTAACTTGATTAACACCAGAGCCAGGAGCACTGCGCCGTTACCTCCGTCACTGTAAATGAGGGAAAAACAAAATGATCGGATCCTTTTCTGACCTTCCCCACCTACAAAGTTTAATTACAACAATCAAACGTGACAGAGCCTGGATTTGTATTCTGAACAGTCTAAACGCGTTTTAAAAAGAAACGTATGACACAAGTGGCACCTGCTCAGTAAAACCACCAACAGGGTGAAAAATATCTAAATATTGTAGCAGAGACGGGCTACAACTTCTGGATTCACTTTATATAAATCATTTTATTGATTATCGTCTTGTGAAAGATAACTTTGACGTACACGAGCGACCGGTACCGGCTGCTGTCACCTGTTGTGAGCAGCTCTCTGCTGTCTGAGGGTAGGCCCCGCCCACAACGCCGCGGCTGCTGTGCCTCCCAGTGTTTTCTTTACTGTGGGAAACGGGTAATAATGGCTCTTTGAGGGGAACAGGTTGCCGACCCCTGCACTAAACCATGGAGCTCTGGCTAAAAGCACCCGTCAATTTCCATTAGCTTTGGTTAGCTCGTTAGCTAAATTGGCTCAGAGTCTGTTGGGTGTCAATCATCTGTCCCCACCCTCACAGCCTCACAGCTCTATTTTTGTATTTTTCACGAGTGACGAGATGCGTGACACAGCCAAGATGGCGATGGTGGGAACCGCCTACTAGACATCAATTCATCTCTTCAGAAACCCAAGAGTGATGCTGCAGAGGCTTCGTCCATCTTATATAAACAGTCTGTGGTTGAAATATTTCTGGGGATAAAACAGGCCTACGAGACTAAAGTGGTCAAATTAATTGATAATATTTCTACCCCAATATAAAAATTATAAAATTAAATCCAAATAATTTAAGAACAAATAATAATACGACTTTCAAAGTAAACTTTTTACTTATTTTTTAAAAACCTAATACAAAATAAAAACTAAAAACCAGGCTGAAACTTGCACGGACGGAGCTGCTGGTTTAAATGTGGAGCAGCTACGTTTTTAACTTTAGAGACAAAAAATGTTATTGAAACCAGTTCAACAATAATAAATATACTTATTTAAATAATAATCCTAATTATTACAGATGATAATTAGCTGAAGCTGCTGTCGATTAAGCAGCAGCAGAAAGACTGAGTTTCAGCGGACTGAACACAAACCCACTCTTATCTGCTGATTGGGAGTGTGGAGAGACTCGGATCAGGAACAGAGAGTTCTACAGGGTCCAGGACAAGAACCGAGCTGTTATTTAATCCTGAGGAACCCTGCAGGATGATGCAGAGGACAGCCTGTTATGTAACAAAGTGCTGCAGCAGCACAAACGTCCATTAGGCTGCACAGGACTAGCACACTCTGTGCACGCACACACACACGCACACACACACACACACACACACACTTAATGCACATCCAGCATGGACAAAGGACACAGCACAGGAGAGCTGCAGCGTCTAAGGGACATCCAGTTCTGATCCTGGTCCTATTGGGCCTTCATTCTGCATGCTTCAGTTTTGTTTAACAGACTTCTACAGGAAGCATCGGTTCTGTTCCTGAGGGACCGAACCTGATTCTACCTGGGTCTACCTCTAAGAACTAAAATTGCAAATAAGTTTATTTGACTCCTGATTTGTCGATTCTGATTCCGGAAGTAGAACCTTCCAGAATATGAATCGGTTCTTTTGTTGGGCCTTTTAGAGCTGATTGGAAATGATGAATCCACAAACCAAAGCATTATGTGGCCAGGTGGAGAAACGAGGGCCCGGGTGGGATTTGATCCCCAGACTCCCAGGTGAGAGTCATACACACTAACCAGTCAGCCAAAGGAACAGCCCCTTGGACAAGCAGCCAGGGCGCATGATCAATCGGGACGCTGTGACAGGACGCGCACACTGCCACAATTATAAATAAATGAACAAACAAAAATAAATAAATAAAATCAGCTGATCTCTGATTAAAGTTGGCCGAGCTCACATCAAACAACCTGACTTAAAAGCGTGGCTGTTTTCACAAATGCTGCATTACATGTAGGGAATGTCTGCTGTTCAGCGCTTTTACGCAACAAGCAGAAAGGGATGCAGTACTTGTCACACCTGTGCTGCACCTATACTCTCAGGTCCAGGTATCCGTAGTTAGAATAAGCTTTTAGCCGATTCCGTTCACCAGGTGAGTTGTTGGTGCAACTTTATTTGGGCAGATGCTGCACAGGTGTGTTAGAGCAGGTAAACAACTAAACATACAAGATGGTGGCTTAGAATTGGACACCACTGTCTTAAACAGGGACAACACCTGGTGCCAGGTCAAGGGTAACATGTCCGCAGAGATGAAAACTATATTCTTACCTAGAAATTTGACGTAAGACCACAACAATCAGCCTTCTTGGTCCCTAAAACATTACCTGGAAGTGATGTCAGGTAATGACACCTGGTCACTAACAAACCAATCAGAGAAGCTCTTTTATCAGACAAGTTGCAGCTGATGCCATCAAACAAAATTCAACGTTTCCGTTTATATTTTAGGTTTGATGAGAGAAGAAACTTCCACGGTACTTCCGCCAAACAACAGGAAGTTTTAATAAAACAGCTGATTTCCGTCAGCTGACGTCTCAGATCAATGACGGTGGAACACAAACCTTCTCCGGTCACCTGTAAACACCGGCACCAGACTCATCACATTCTTCTTCCTCCCAAATACACCAGAGAGCTTCACCAAGATCCTCTCGAGAATCTCTTCTGTAAATCCGGATGGATCATCGAGTCTCTCTGTGTTTACGGCTGAAAAACGAGTCAACAGCCCGTCAGGAACGCACGCGCCTGCAGAACCACCGCGCAGGGACTAGATTGTTGGCGGAGGAACACACGAAGTAGACTACTGCCTGCTCTGACCGGACCAACTTGACCTGTTTATTTAGGGAGTCTAGATTTTCATTTGAAAAGTTAGAAATATTTTACGACTTTAAGAAAAAAACACATTGTCTTTTTAAATGTTACCTAAAGTTAAAAAGGTTTGTTTAGAAGTGTCTTTTTGAGGCCCTGCTGATCTGGAATTGAGAAAATAAAGTAAAAAATATCCAAACGGCAGGAAGTTAAAAGAATTACGTTATTTTTTTAATGTGAGTATTTCTTCTCAGGTATTAAAAAGTCTGTAATAAAGTTATTGTAAAAACCCAGAAAACCAGAAGTTCTATACAGACAGGACAGTAAATAAGCAGAATAACATGTTGTTATTCTAGTAAAATTATTGAATTGCCCAGAAAGGTCAAGACTGGGACATTTGGACAGGTGGATGTGAGACTTGGCCAACATAAACTGGTAAGAAAATCTTTAGTTTGAGTGGCTGAGAAATTACAATTTTACCAAAAGAAAAACAAAATTGAACCAGAAACCAAAAAAATTACAAATATAAATCTTCTTCATGAGTGTTTCAGATTTCTGAAGATGTTGCTTCTCAGTGGGGTGTGTGGAAATGCTGCCATCTGGAGGCCGGAAGGAGAGCTACAGCTGAACAAGTCCTTGAAAGCAGAATAGAAAAGATTTTATTGATCCCACAGTAAGGAAATCCACTTGTTACAGCAGCACCAACACTTAAGGAAATAATTTGAAGAAAAATAATAACAAAGGTACATGTATATACACACAGGTAGTAAGCTAGTATTGCAACTTTCGACCACTAAAAACCACAAATAAAAATGAAAAACTTAGGTTCCTGGTTTTCTGCTGAAGGTGAAGAAATTAAAACAACTTCTCATTTGACCTCTCTGATAAAGATCATGAAGAAAGATAGTCTACAAAATGTTCTGGTCCAGATGGTGTACCCTCAGAATTTGACTGGATTCATCTTCATAAGGACTTCAGTCTGTCTCATTGGTGCCCCCAAGGGGTGGCCAGGAATGGCCAAGGCCCCCCTAGAAAACTGATGTATGTGCATCGTTTTTAATGACAAAGATTTAAGAAGCAATGCCGGTTGTCAGAAGGGTAGGGATGATGGCTTGCCTTGCAACAATTTGTCCGTCTCACCGACCGTCAGACTGAGGGAGGTTATTTGGAATCGTAGTATGTCCAAGGAAGATCCCACCTTTCTCACCTCTGATTGGCTGGAAGGGCTCTACTACGACTGGCTATTTCATTTAGCAGCAAACCGTCTTCCCCGGCTAACTGCAGACTGTCTTCCTGCCACCAACAGAACAGCTGTTTTGGGGAGTTTTGTAAAGAAAATGTGAACATAGCGTAATTATAACCATTCTGTCCTGTTTCGCAAAAAAGGTTTTTTATGTTTCTTATATTAAAAAACATGAAAATGTGAACTTAAAATAAATCTTGTTGCATTTATCACACTGTTAGTCTTAAATATTTTGGCTCTCAAGCTTGAGGTTATCTTATTAAAGCAGAGTAAATAGGAAAAACATGTATGTAACAATAAACCTGCCCTATTTTGCCCAGCTGTGTGCGGCAGGTCTGTGTTCTCTCCTAAAAACGAAAACTGCTGAAAAGTAGATTTAAATCATAATCAGATTTGAATTAAATTTCGATTACGTGATACACATTTAATCAGATGATGAGAGATGTGTTATAACTTCTACAGCCATCCATTTCTGTACCCGCTTATCCATGCAGGGTTGTATACAGCTTTACCCTATCAAAGAGAAGACATAAGATAGCCTAAACATTAACAATAAGATAACTCCAATAGAGGCAAGGTTAGTCTAACAGTGTGATAAAATGCAACAGGATTAATTACTAAGCTCACACTTCACGTTTTTCTGGTGCTTTTGTAAAAGAAACTGAAACAGGTATGCTGCAAAAGAGGAGAGAAAGGTTGGTATAGCGGTGAGTTCACATTTTCCTCAAAAAACTCCTCAAGATCTGACTGTAAACATAAAAACCCTGCAGCAAGGGAAGACTGTTGGCTCTTACATGAACTAGCCAGTCGTAGGAGAGCCTTTCCAGCCAATCAGGGGCGAGAAAGGCAGGACCTTCCTCGAACAGCAGTAAACTGACAGCTGTTAAAGAGCAAGTCACCCCTTACAAGAAGCATACTTCACTCCCACTTCATGTTTGAAAAATGCAACAAATGCTGTTGCCTAGCAGACCAAGAGGGTGGAACAAATACACACACTCACGACATTGTGACATCATAATGTACCAGTTTACATCATAGCATACCTCTTAGCCAATAGCGGTGGCAGATTTAAATTCAAATCCTGTGAAGAGTTTTTACCTGACAACGGCACAACACTGACAGTTTCAGGCAGAAATTTTAAATTTTAACTAAAATGCACTAAAGTGCTAAACTATTGACTACACGTGTCTGCAGCACGATTAGACACGCATTTATATAGTTTATCAGAAAAAAATAGTTGATTTGGGGGTGACTTGCTCTTTAACGACCCTCTCGCCTGTCCTTTTAATGTCCAGCCGGACGCTACAGTGAATATACATGGTTGCTAGGACACACACAACAACTGTAAAACAAATTAAAGATTTATAAAAATTATGTATAACATGTATGTATGATACCTAATTTAATTAATGTATTTCAAAGCCTTACTCTGGTGCCCCTACTGGGAAAATTCTATTCTATTCTATTCTATTCTATTCTATTCTATTCTATTAAGTTAAAGAGCAAGTCACCCCCTACCAGATTCTTACTCAACTCCCACTTCCTGTTTGAAAAATGCAACAAATGCTGTTACCTAGCAGACCGAGAGGGCGGAGCTGCTAACAAATACACACACTCACGACATTGTGACATCATAATCTACCATCTAACATCATAGTGTACCTCTTAGCCAATAGCGACGGCAGATTTAAATTCAAACGCAGTGCTGAGTTTTTACCTGACGACGGTGCAACACTGACAGTTTTAGGCAGAATATTTAAATTGTAACTAAGATGCACTAAAGTGCCGAATTATTGACCATATTTGTCTACAGCACGATCAGACACTCATTTATATAGTTTATCAGCAAAATTAAAATGTTGATTTGAAGTGGCTTGCTCTTTAAGTTTACTTTCTTATAGTTTTTAAAAGCTAGCCCTTACACAAAATGGGCTGAAATAAAGTCACAACCAGAGATTATCAATGATATAAATGAAAGCCGGATGTGTGTGAGTCAAATATGTCATGAGTTTTGTTTCCTCCTGTACTTTGGAGCGTCTTCCCTAAAAAATAGTCAACAGAATGAAAAAGTCTGGACTTCAAAATAAAGTACAGCGTACTACATGAACCCTTTTTAAATAGTCAAATAATACAATTTATCGTGTGGTTTTATATTTGAGCAGATTACCTGCAGATATTATGGGATATTGGGTCTGATATCAATACTGCGGCTCGTTCATCTTTCTTGTAAACCTTTATATTGAAACTCTTAACCGGACGTTGGAAGCGCATCGGTCGCTAACGTGATAACGGTTAGCTCATCAGTTATCAGCCACAGAGACGACGGACGGGGAGTGGTCAGATTCGGACCGGTACCGGTGACTCCGGGTCCGTTCTAAACCGGTTTAACCGAACAGAAGCGGGAAGCCGAACCGCGGGATCATGGACGGCCTTCCGGGGCAGCGCTGGAGCAGCGGGGAAGGCAGCTCGCGCTTCGGAATGAATCCGGGGATTTAACCGCTGAGGAACAAAAACACGTCGGTGGTTCTGTCTCCATCTCCTCCATTTTGGTTGTCAGTGATGGAGAACATCCGGACTCCAAAGGTAACACGCTGTTTTCATTCGCTCTGCGTCTCCTTCACGTCCACTTATACAGGTCCTCCGGTCGTCGGTGACATTTATTTACGTGCATCATCCCCGGTGGTACCCACGTCCGTTGGTCTCTGTGAAACCGCAGTTTAAAGGCTACCCGACAAACGATCCCCTCCGGTACCGATCGGAACCAGAACCACAATGGACTCAGTCCCTGAATCCCTCAGACGTTGTAAACACAGCTGGCACACGCGACCTCTGGGTGCTCAGGTGCACCTCCTGAGTCACACACCTGTCCCACCATAACGCAGCATGACCTCTAGAGAGCTTCAGCATGACCTGAAACCTCCCCCACCTGTCCAGCCCCCCCCCCCCCCCCCCCCAGATAACATCCAAACAAGAATAAAAGACTCCTCAGAAATCTTTCTGTAGCTTCTGATCACAGAGGAAACTAACTTTACTCAACCACCAGGATGTTTTTCTGCTACAGTAGCCAGAGAGGGTCAAAAAGAGTTCCTAAAATATCACTGGTCAAAAAGAAAGCAGGAAGAAGCTGGGTGGGGAACAGAAGCACTGATTTAGGCTTTAGGGCCGATACCGAGCTGTGATTCTTTTAGCTCTGACCCGCCGAATCTGTTTATTATCAGAGTACCATAAATGACCTGAACACGTTTAAACATCTGATGACCCGGTTCTGGAAGTAAAAACTTCCATGTGGAGGATATAGGGAGTGTGACTTAGCAGCAGTGGTGAGCTCATAGATCAAATTAACATTTAAATTCTTTTTGCTGCTTGGCGGCGGTGCACTCACAGGACAAAAATATATAAATTTTGGCTATATTTAAAAGATCTATTTTTTATGATGTTTTTATTGGTTTGAGGTATTTGCCCTGATTTTACTCATGTTGTACAGCGCTTTGTGATTGATATCTGTGAAAGGCGCTATATAAATAAACTTTACTTACTTACTTACTAAAACTTATTTTTGGAGTTTTGGATCACAGATCAGAAAGAAAGACAATCTTTTATATAACCCTCTCAAGATAAAAATCACGAGGTGCTTCACGTAAACAAAAAACGATTAAAGTACAAGAAGAAAATAAAAAAACGATCAAAAATATGTTCAAAATGAGAAAAAAATCATTTAAATTGTGATTAAAAAAATTAATGTAAGGAGAGGGAAACCAGTGGATCGCAGAAAAGGCAGAATAAGTAGAGCAGAATGAGGAGAGGGTGGTGATGAAGGTCACACCAAAGTCACCCTGACCAGGTGAGTTTTCCACTGATCTCAGGCTCAGGGGGAGAGAGGTCCAGAGTCTGGGGGCCACAGCAGCAGATGATCTGTCACCTTTGACCTTTAGCCTGGTGCTGCACAACCAGTAGGCTTTGGTCACTGGACCTCAGGGACCTGCTGGGGGTGTAGGGACTAAGAAGATCACCAATGTAAGATGGTGCTTGTCCATGTAAGGCCCTATAGACCAGAACCAGGATCTTGAAATGAACCCTGAAGTTGACTGGCAGCCAGTGAAGCTGGAGGAGAAGCGGGGTGATGTGGGTGTGTTTGGAGGACTTGGTCAGAAGCTGAGCACAGGCGTTCTGAACCACCTGTAGACGGTTCAGGGAGGTTCTGCTCAGACACGTGAAAAGAGAGTTACAGTAGTCTAAGCGTGAGGAGATGAAGGTGTGGAGAACTGTCTCAAGTTCAGAGCGGGACAGAATGGGACTCAGCTTAGCAACGTTCCTGAGATGGAAGAAGGAAGAGCCAACAAGAGAACCGACATGAGAATCCAGGGTGAGAGCTGGGTCAAAGGTCACGCCAAGATTCCTGACGGAGGGTTTGGTGTGGGAAGCAAGCTGACCAAGAGAGTCTCTGACTTTGGGAACCAGCTTGTCTGGGGCACAGATGAGGATCTCAGTCTTATCTTCATTCAGCTGAAGAAAGCTCCCACCATCCAGGTTTTGATAGAGTCTAAGCAGGTGTGTAACAGCTGCAGCTTAGACATCTCATGGGGCTTAAAGGAGATGTACAGTTGGATGTCATCTGCATAAAGATGGTAGGAGATTCCTTTGAAGGAGCTCAGGATGTGCTGAAGAGCATTAGGCGGATCATTTTGAAGACTGGCAGATTCTAGTCGTCAGCTGATGCATCTGTAGGAAATAAATGTCATCATCCCGCCAGCCTGGTTTACAAAGAAATGAGAGTCCATTGTCAGTTTGGGTCTGTCAGAACCAGAGCCAATCCAGTCTGAAACCGGCCTTCTCTCCTCTCCATGTCTGAACCCTGGTGAGATTCATGACCTGATCCATTTGTCCGTCTCGCAGGTGGAAAACGTTCGTCTCCTGGACCGCTCATCGGGCCAGAGGAAGGCCACCATTGGGACACTCTACCTGTCTGCCACACACATCATCTTTGTAGAGGACAACCCAGAGACACGCAAGGAGACGTGGGTGAGGCCCCAAGTTCTGTTCATCATCTCCATCTTTGCTTCAGGCTGCATGTGTCAGCCGGTTCAAGTTTTGATGCTGGGACGGGCTCACACGCCATCAACATGAAACCATAATCAGCTCCACACACCTGAGTTTTGGGTTTAGTTTCATACACTCATAGTTTTCCCAAAACACCTGGAAGGAGGAGATGAGACGGGATTCCAGCTGTTCTACGGTCGTTTCTGCCACTAGGTGGTGCTGTGTCGCACAGATGGGACTTTTAAAGGTTGAGGAGATCAGCATCAGTTTATTTTCCAACCAATGAGGCTTCAGGAGGAGCTGCTTTTTAAAATGTACCATGCAGCCTCTCATTGTTCCTCCTCCTCCTCCTCCTCCTCCTCCTCCTCCTCCCCCCCGTTAGAAGGATGAGGCCAGGAGAGAGAACCTGCTGTAATGAGCTCAGATATGAGGAAGGAAAGCTGCCTGCCCCCCCCTACTAAACCTCCACCAGGAAGAGGATGAGGAGCATCCCCTCCCCGTGGACCTGAACAGATGATGAGGAGGTCCAGAGGTCCTCCAGTCTGAGCCGATTGGAAGTTGCTGTTTCATAACGTGGTTTGCGCATGCGTGTGCATGTGTGTGTGGCAGGTGTTGCACAGCATGGTGAGCAGCGTCGAGAGGCCCCCCCCCACTCCCTCAGCCAGTCAG